ATAACAGCATAACGCTAATTCAAAATGTTGTTCCCAAACAAGGCCATTATTATTATGAGACATGCTAAAATAGTAAAATACAACACTGTTTACTTGAGTCAGAGGTTACATAAAATACATTGAAGATATCTTTTCTATGCACAACTCGTAACACCAGAAACTCATTCTCTTTGATTGGGCCAGAATTGTCCTAAATGTATTTCGGACAATTTAGCCAAATGCTACCCGGTTTAAACAGTTTCCATCATCTCCGATGGAGCCAAAATTTCACCATTTTTTGGCTTTAGGGTGTGATGGAATAAATCAAAATGGATCTCTAAACTATCTGTTCTTCTTTAATTAATGAAGTAGCAGTTAGTCAAGCAATGCAACTTTCGACGTTGAGCCGGGGGTCTCTTTGGAAACAGCCTCTCTACTTTCGAGTAGGGGCAAGGTCTGCGTACACACACCCTCCCCAGACCCTACTCTTGTGGGATTTAACTGGGTTGTTGTTGTTGTTGTTGTTGTTGCTACCCGGTTTAAACAGTTTCATTTTCACAGCTAAATTTAACTATCTACAGCTTCATAATATTTTTGATACAGTTGACAAGATAGGAGGCATACAAAGATTAGGTAACGGAAGAGATAGTTACCTTGAATTTCAACTCCGCAATTTGTGTGCTATCACATACTTCTGTTATTAGGTCCTGTCAGAAAACATACACAAGTGCATCTCAAAATTTAAGGCACATTATAAGATGATTACATATTTATATCGAAAAATATAGTCCTTCCTGTTCAATATACAAGTATTTTTTTAAGGAAAAAGTTTGTCTTGCACTCTTGCAGTATATGTCATAATGTAAAACTAAGACAATATTGAATGTGTATCTTTTTTTTTCAAATCTCGTCTTAAAGTCCCCTAGGATATGTAATTTTCATTGATTTAGTAATTGTGTGATTCTTTCCAAAACCACATCTATTGTTTATTAACTAGAGCACAAGAAGATCATTTTTACTAGGGCTAAAAAGAAAGCTCAATTCTTTGTGCCGGGATCTTTTGAAAATAATCTCCCTATCTTTTGGGTAGGGGTAAGGTCTGCATACACCCACCACCCAAATCCCATTCATGGGGTGTTACTGGGTTGTCTAAAAGAAAGATAAAAACTCATATGTAACAATATACAAAAGTAAAAACTACCTCAAACCCCTCAGGAAATGTAACTCGTGACAGTGGCTTCTTCTCATTTGAAAAAGTCTGTTTACCCTCAGTCAAAATAGCTGCCCCTATAGCATCCGGGACATTTGAATTTATATATTAAACATCTTTTTAAAATGAAAAAAAACACTTATGAGATGCATCTTTCATCAACTGCAGCATATATGCTGGGCAAAAAAAGGCAACAAAAATGCAAATTAGATCCTGTTTGGTAATGATTAATTTGGCTGGAATTGCTGATATTCTGATCAATATTAATGAAGTTGATGAAACTGCATAATTGTGGAATAGTTATACTCTTAAATTATTATATTGATAAAGTAAATAAAATATACGAGTACTAAAATGGTTATAATGATCATCTTCAGCCAAATAGACAGTTATTAGAAACCTCCAACCATACTTTTTCATTATTAACCAATTGAGTGTGCGTAATAAAATTTAGTGTTTGGTAAAAAAATAAAATCTTGTTAATAAGACGGGTAGGCTAAAAAATGGCTACCAAATGGCCACTTAAGTTCTAAGGTAGATTTTTCTCATGAAAAAGACCACAATTATAAGGAAAAGTAAATAAAGGGTGTGAAATATAGCGCCAATTGGTACTGCAATTAGTGAGTTGACATCTTACAAATCTGATACAAATTGGCATAATTGAAAGAGCAGAAATTAACCAATCATATCTTCTGATGCATTAGTTCCCGACGCCTTTGCAGATGATACAACTAATCTATTCCCAGCAAATGCCAAACGACTCAAGTTGGAGAATGCAACACTCTTCATGGGGACCACACTAGGCATATCCAAGAATGACTTCACATTAGATGAGCCAATGGGATCTTGTACAGGAAACACAAAATTTTAGCATCAGAATGATAACGAAATTTTGGTATACACTTTATAAAAGGCTAGATGAAATTAAAAAATGATAAGTAGATTACAAGCACACTAGAAAGAAAGACTTTCTCTCTAAAAGCCTAAAGCATAAATCTCGAGCTAGTTAACTGCAGATTCAGATATTCTTAAAATCTGAAATGCAAGCACACCCCACAGCACGCGATCTCTTCTAGTTAACTATGGAAGATTGCTTTACATAATCCCATTCAACATTTCTACTTATATTCAATTTAGCCCCAAACACTACAAAAATAGCCAGCAAGGCGGCAGCAACCAACCTTTATCCCAAGTTCCAAAACACCGGAGATAGAGAGACAAAGAACATTAATATCCAAACATCAAACTAAATTAACACAGAAGAAGAATGTGTGTCCAACAAAAAAACAAAGAAGAAGAAAATGGAGCATTGATGACAGATGAATGAGCAATTGATCTCATAACACATTTAATTTCGTGTGATCTGCAAAAGTTTGAAAACAGGGCAAAGCCTTCATGGATCTGACATAAGCACATATGCTAATAGAGATTCTATATCATATATCAGATTATGGCGGTAAAAGCCCAATCGGAACTCAACCGGAGATTGAGCTAACACATTAGGTAAAAAAAATGAATTAGTTAAAACTTAGGCATAAACATAAAAACGAACACGCATTCAACATATAAATACAAACTAAGGACGCATAAATCGAGAGAGATAAACTGAGCGACTGAGAGAGAGAGAGAGAGAATTACTGTGGAATGACCGGAGAACGGCGGAGGAGTCCATCGGCGGAGAGATTTACTTTGAAGTCAGGGATGAATGAGGATGAAGCTCAGCTACTCCCACTGCTTTGAAATGTCCGCCACACTCTCCAGTTTCAGAGCTCGCTCGCGCGTAGCTGCTGTTCTTCCGGCTACCTGCTAACTTGCGCCCAACAGTTCCGCTTACAGGGGAGACAATGCTAGAGACATGGGCTTGAGCGGGTTGTATATGTGGACTGGATTATCCGTCCAAGTCCGGATGCCCAACAATTTATTGAGTGGGTTTAGGCAACAAAAAAAAAAAGATCCTAAGTTTGGGCCTTGAAAAATAAAAACTGTTAAATTGAGTAGAATAGTGGCCCGGCAAGTCTTCCAAAGTTTGTAATCTTATTGCGGTTATAATTCCAATAGGTTCTAATCTGATTGAAAATTTTTTTAATTGATTTGATCTGGATTGATCTAATCTAATTTAATTTGGTCTAATCTGATTCTAATGAATGGTTCTCATCTGATTGGAATAAGTTCTGATCTAAAGGTAGTTATATTTAAAGTTATTTCTAATCCGTTCTAATTTGATTCTAATTTTTTTATCAATGATCTGATTTTAATAAGAATAAATAATCAATTGAGAAGAACATGACCTTAGTCATTTGACCGAAATGGACTAGATTTGGACATAACCATTTGTTGTAACTATTGGTACAAAGCCAGACATAAGTTTTCTCAAACTCGGCTCATTTCTATCTTCACCATTTAGACTAGGGGTGGGTTCGGCTTTTTCCATTCGTTTTTTCCCTGAAACCAAAAACAGAACGCAAGTTAATTTGGCGGTTTGATTTGGTTTTTCAAAAAAAAATGAATGATCAATTTTCGATTTGATTTTTTGCAGTTCAATCCTCGATTTTCAAAAAAAATTAAAAGTATATCACATTGATCACATTAAAAAAACTACGAATGCTTGCAAATATCCATCCAAACACTAGAATTATGGCCCAAAATTGATGAAGTATATAGAGTTTATACTTGCTTCCTTGCTCACATTTTAAAAAACCAACGTAACTTCATAATTTTTCATAATAAAAAAGCCCAAGAAGTCAAGTCAACATATAATTAAAGTCCTAAACATTACTTCCAAACTTCAACTTGCATCTTCAAAATTAAATATGTAAAAAAATGAAGCAATTGAGAGTTTTATACGGAGCACCTTTTAATTTTATTTTCATCATCCAAAAATAAATTGAGGCAAAAAGGAGACTTACCATAACCAAAATAATTAAACTTGGAAAAAGAATATTAACAATTAAATATGCAAGAACAAAACAACTTAAACAATTAAACCTACAAAAAATGGAGGCTTACCATAACAAAAATGATTAACTTTTTTCTCCATCTTAGAACTCTTAGTGGTAACTAACATATTTTGGTTTTTTCATTCGGTTCGGTTCTTATAGTCCCAAACTGAAAACGAAACAATTTGGAAATGATTCGGCTCAGTTTTCAAATTCGATTATTATTCTTTTGATTCGGTTTATTTTTTTGGCATGATTCAATCAATTTTGGTTCGGTTCTCCCAACTCAGCCCTAATTTAGACCGACTTATTTGGAAATAGAAAATTAATTAAACTTGGAACCCAAGAATAACCCCAAATTCGGCCCCACCAACTACACAAACCCAAGATAAATCGTAACACCATTTGTCTATATCCATTTGAAGGGTAGGGGTAAACTTAATAACTTGAGGGTGTACCCCATTCTAGTTTACCTCTAGCTTCATTAGTTGTATATCCGATTAAATTTAGTTCAATACAACATTGTAAATGCCCTATGTTACTCAACCGTGAATCCACAAACCAAAACCAAAACCTCACTGGAATCAACACAGCAATAAAAGGCAAATAGCGCTGAGGCCTTGACCTCAAAATAGCATAAAGTTATATTAGCTGTTCACATGGTAACGAAGTGACAAAACATACAGCTGAGGAATTACTGTCTGTTTCCCATGTTGCCTACGTTAAACTTTCCACTAAATCAGTCCTCTCCTTCTCAACTGCCTATATGTACTAGGTTGGGTGGGTGGGGAGTGGGGTGGGGTGGGGGGGAGGGGAGGGGCGTAAATGAACCACAGACCCCCTCCTGAGTAATTCCTCACATGCTTTCTAAGTCACATATGATGCTAGTTTCATTACCATGCAATGATAAAAACACACTAATTAAGTAGCATTTGCAAAATACCCATCATTCTTGGAACCAAACGCTGCACTAATCTCACAGCATCACGGAAGAGAAAAGGCACCTCTTCCCAAGCCCTTTGAGGTTGCTGGGATTCCATCTGTAGCCATCGTAAAATTCCACCTGCAAATTCCAGGGTGATGAATTAGATGAAGTTTACGGTTGTGGGTCCCAAACAGGGAATATGCTAAAGAAAACCGTTGAGTGTCACACTTTATTCGGCTTGTATTATACTCCGTAGTTCAGAGCTTTAGCGAGTAGCTTAAGCATTTTGAAAAGGTTGTTGAATGACAGCGTTTAGTTTTAGCGTTTTAAAATTTAATATACACCACTGAAAAATTATCAAAAATGCAAATGCTGTTGAAAACGTTGTTCCCAAACAAGGCCTTTATTTTTTTAAAAGAAAAGTGAAATAAGGGATTAAAGACGGGGAGTATCCCACACACAAAAACAAAGAGAGAGATATAAGTCGTTGATATATACCGTGTCTAATGTTCCTCCACCGTTCGTGATCCCTCCTAGTGCACATATCTTCCCGCCAATGACAACGGCTCCAAAATTACCCCTAGAATCATTCATTGGATGCGCCATCGTCCAAGAACCAACACGGGGTTCAAAAACCTCAACACTTGGTACATATCTGTCTCCATCGTAGCCACCTAGAGCATATCTGTTGGAAATCATTTATTAGTTCTGAAAGTATTTAGAGCTGTAGGTTGGGAAAATACATATTCCATTGGTTAGCTTCACATCAAATTGGGCACGCTTAGTTAGTATTTCCTTGAATGAATGGGACATTTTTGAGAAGGGCAAGGAAAAAAAAAAGGAAGCTCAAGGGCTCTGTTGTTACCGTTTTCTTCTTTTCGTTCTCTGTCTTTGAGAACTATAATCAAAACTAAGGTTATAAGAAAAGTGATTTGTTACAAATTGAAACCATTTGCAATGTATGGGACTTCTCCCACATCAGTTGTAAGGGCGACATATGAGGGGTTTATAGACCAAAAGGTCTCTCTCACCTTACACACTAGTCTTTTGGGATGAGATCTCTTGTCCGGTCTGTAACAAGTGGTATTAAAGCCAACTCGGAATGGTGGCGGCCTGGTGGAGCCAAGTGGGACCAACGAGTGTCAAATGTTACCAATTGAAACCATTTGCAAGGTATGGGACATGTCCCACGTCGGTTCTAAGGGCAAGAGATTAGGGTTTATAGACTAAATCAGCTCTCGCCCAAATTTTTCCCACATATCCCAACATACCGCCACTTCTTGAGTTTCAAAATAGGAATAAACAGCAAGACTCGTCCAACGATTCACATTCTCTCAGGCATAAATTACCGTTTGGATGCACAACCAGCCATAAAATTGTGAAAGTAGTACTTACAACTTTTCATCGAATGCAACCAAAGAGTGGCATCCTCTCTTTGTTTTCATGTCACCTACTTTTCTCCAAGTATGCTCTCTTGGATCAAACCTTTCAGCAGATCTTCAATGCCAAATGAGAAAGATAAGGTAAATTTTAGGCACACTAATAGAAGTTCACAAGATGGCGGCACTTCTATGTAATTGATTTAAATGGGTTGTGTTACACAGCATTGGTCTGTAAAAATAATTATATAAACACAAAACTATCGCTTGAAAAAAAACATGGTTTAAAACTGGGTTTGAAGAAGAAATTTGGTTTGGAAAAAAAGTATGTATCAGAAAATATGAGGGGGTTAAAGGAAAATAATGCAAAGCAAGCATATGAAAGTTGAGCACAAGGTGATGGTGCCTTACTTTAAATAAGCATTTCCATCATAGCCCCCTACCACGTAGAGAGCACCCTTCACTTCTGCTGCTGCTGTTGAAAACCGCTGGAAGGAAGAAGCAAGTCAGCAATACCAACTAAAAGAAGTTAACAACCTTCCAAGATCTGACAATGAATACCTCTGAGCTATTAGGCAGATCACATGGATTATTAAGTGCTCATTTCGTATGACTTATAAGTGCTTCTCGAAACATCTGTTTTTCTAAACTAAAAAAAATTCCATTTAGATGCTCTTAGTTTAAGAAAACTTTTTTAACTAAATAAAAATATAAAAATTGATCACTTTCGATTTAGTAAATTTCTTTTTGGTTTCAATAATAGCACCAAAGTATCGCTTCCAAAATCTGGCAAAAGAGCTTTGGCCTGTTCCAAAAGTTATCTAATACTTTATTAACAGAGACAAACAGTTACCCAACTCCTTCAAAACCAAATTAGAATTCGAAGATTAAAAACTTCAATGGTTCATGTCGATACCTTTTCCAGCATTGATGTAGAGTACATCCACTTTCCTGTGTTCAAGTCTAGCATTTCCACCTCTGAATAACATTCCATCCCATTTCTCCCACCCACTGCAAAAATTTTGCTGTACAAAGACGCTCCAGCCAGGCTTCCCTTCTCACGATTTAATGAGGGTCGTTTGGACCATTCATTTGTCTTTGGATTATATGCTTCAACTAAATGATTAACAAAGTTGAGAGATTTTATATGTAGAACTATTAGTAAATATCCACAAAACACAATACGTAAAATGAGATGTTATACCTGTGTCATACCAAACCTCTCCATGCATGCCACCAAGTAGATAAACCTCACTATTCAAAACTGCTACAGAACAATATGACCGTGGAAATGTCATTGCCGTAAGATATTCCATGCAGTCATGCAAAGGCATGTAGGAACTTATATTAGGCAGCCAATTCAAACCATCAAATCCTCCAACTACGAGCACACAATCACCCCTCTTAGTAGAGGGGTTTAGTGTTCCACGGTAAAATCCTTCAAACTGTTGGCTTGAAGGCAATGGGGGAGCTTCCAATGCACGGTGTTGACTTTGTAACTTCTGAACTACCTCTCTTGACTGAGCCTGAACAGACAAACAAATAATTATTTCTGATTTCCAAAACTCAGGGTCATGGACTCATGGATAATTTACATAATGAAAAGAGTAATTGCTTGGGATTAAAATACATAAAGTCCCTTCCTCATTTATTTTCCTTTTTCCACCTTCTCCCTTTTTCCCAAGAAGCTAGCTGTCAACATTTTGTTTTTAAATTTTTATCACATGGATTGAGAGTGTTCCATTGGACACAGTACATGACCTTGCAGCCTACCTGTACTGGTTAGGCTTCCTAAAGTCCTAAGCCGCTACGAGTTTGGAGTTACGCATAAAACCTTCTGATTAAAGTTCAAGCTAGAGTAGAGAAAAATAACTCACCCAAAACATAGAAAACAAAACATTTACTATTGAAGGAAACTGGTGAAAGATGGTATCTGTTAGCAGGGGTGTGATGGTCTTATATCTCAATACAAATAAAAAATGTATCCAACTAACAACCCACCATGTCTGTTAATAACAAGGAACACATACCAGTTCTTTTTCGAGAGTCCAAATTTTTTCTTCTTGTTTCATTTGCCTTTCCTTCAGTTCTGCAACCTCTTCCATCAACTTCAAGGAAAAGATCTCAGTTATATGAATAAGATAAGAAGTGTCAAGGAACCAACTCAACCAAAAGCTCAAGTTTATGGTTGTAGGCCCAGGAAAGGTTTTATAGTCTAACAAGAAGAAATCAAGTTGAATTTATAAACAGAGGATAACTGGAGAGGAAAGCTCAAGTTAGCTACCATTGACAGAATATCAGAAGACCCTTGTGAGATAAGAAGTTGATCCATTGAAGAATTTCTATCTGCTGAATATGCAGGAGCCTCAACAAATTGTTGATTTCTATCATCTTCATTTCCTTCTTCCTCCTCTGCCACACAAATATTGTTTAATTCCATTGAAGTACTTCCATCAACAGAGTATTCAGGGGACTCAACAAATGGTTGAATATTTTCTGTATCTCTTTCAACCTCAGCATCCCATTCCCCATGATAGATTCCAGGAGCCTCGTACTGTGGTTGGATAGAGTATTCAGCGGACTCAACAAATGGTTGAATATTTTCTGTATCTCTTTCAACCTCAGCATCCCATTCCCCATGACAGATTCCAGGAGCCACGTATTGTGGCTGAATATCTGCATCTTCGACGATCTCCTCAGGACAACACTCATGATCTTCACTTCTGGTAATTGAAGGTGAAGTGCAAGACTCCCATTCCCCATTATACTGCTCTGATAAGGGTGAAGTTGGACGTGATGATGCAATCTTCAAAACTTCAAATTTGTTGATTGTATCAGAAGTTGTGTTGTTAAAAAGTGACCTCCAAGATCTCTGTTCGGAGGAAGCACGGGCATTACTTTGCACAGCATAACTTGTAGATGCAGAGTGCTGTTCAACACAATCATTAGGCACACTAGGATTGCATTTGTTTTGTGGGATATAGCTACGAGTTTCCTTAGTGGGGTTCTGATGAGCATAATGACGACCGGAATACGGCACACCTGAAGATGCAAACAACCCAACCATCTTAGCTGTCTGAGAATGATCCATTTCAAACCAAAAAAAATTTGGTTGATCTGGATCATAGTAGTTATCAGGGATGATGGAGCTAAATTGGCTTTCTTTCAGAGTGTAGCACCTATTGAACGCTTTTATTTTCACCTTGAAGACAGAGAATGTTAAGATATGAGACATTTATCAATTGTTTGTGTGTGTGGAAACAGATGGTTTAAGTGTGTCACCAAGTTGCTACCTGAGCAGGAAATTCTGTTTCATAGCCATTGCCGTTAGTCCATGCATATGCGTCAATATTAAGTTTTCCAGGACTAGAAGCCTCAAATGTACCAAGAAGCTTCCGATCACTGTAGTTGAACAGAAACAGTGGAAGGCCGGGACTAATCTTCTTGACATATGCAAAATGTCCAAATGGTAAACCTGACCACCAAAAAAACAACAGCAAAATCACGTCAAAATTGGAAAAAAATACAAATAATAACACATTGGTATCAGTGAATGCCCAGGTAATTCCAACAGGGTATGCGGTGAACCCATAACCAACAGGGTAATACTCAACATACGGAATAATAAAACATTGAAAGTTTCTTCATGGTAGAAAAAAAATGTTTGAAGGAGAGCATAAGTGAAATACCAAAGATCAGCTTCGAAAGGCATTCCTCGATGGTATGGGCTTTACACCCAAATATAACAGCTCCCAATTCGCTCTTAGGTAGGTTTCGGGCAGTCACACTACAGTTGTATGGTTGGAACGGTTGTTCCTTTCCTGTCTGGATTTTATTCTTCTTCTTGGAACCCATTGTACCAACCACTCCTGGTAAATGAAATCAGACTAACACACTTATCAAATTTGTCAGGGAACTAACTCAACCAAAACCTCAAGTTTGTGCTTGTAGGCCCTAGAAAGGTTTTTATATTCTAACACGCCCCCTAAGAGCAAACTCACCCAAAATCTCAAGCTTGTGTTTGTATGTCAAGAAAAGGTTTTCACTATAAAAGAAACCAATATGATAAGCTCTAAACAGAAAATGCACGCAATCAGTTTCTCATCATTTTATCCAATACTGCTAAAACCCTACATCAACAACTAAACCCCTGCAAAAAAAATTGCACATACAATGCATCAACACATTCTTATGCCTTTAAACATGCACCTACACTCAAAACCCCCATCTCATTTAAACATTTACATATATACACCAAAATACAAGTGTATCTACAAGCATCTACCGTCTAACACATCAAAGAGAAGTAAAGTATCAACAAAACATAACATTAAGTTTGAGACAGTACCAAACAAACATTCATAGTCCAGAATAAACAAAGAGACCAATGCTGAAAATCCAAAATGCTTTTAAAATAAAGACTTAAAGTTAAAACCCTCCATCTCAAGCTGAAAGCACAACAACTATCAAAAATAAAACAAAATCAGGTTCTCCTCATTTTTTCCCCTGCCAAAAATTCTAAAACCCTACATCCACAGCTAAACCCCAGTGTATTTCTTTGTGCGCGCACACACAGTCACACCAACACTCTCCCCCGTGCCTCTCTACATGCAACTAGACTGAAAACCACCATAGCGTTTCAACATTTACATATAAACACAAATGCACATGCCTATTCACATGAATCTACAGTCTAACACGGCGCAGAGCAGCAGAGCTTCAACAAAAAAAAACCTAAAGCTCCAGAGATTGCCAAACAACACACATTCGTACTCCGGATGAAATTAACAAAGCGATCGTCTCAGAATAGCAAAAATACTTCAAAAAATTAAAAAAAAAAAAAGGAAAACATAAAAAAATTTCCAGAAAAGGAAAAAACATATTGAAACTCACAACTTCAAGCAAAACGAACGGAGATTGAAATGAAAAATACTGAGAACAAGTTTTGAAATGAAGATTCAAACCTTGTTTAAGAACTGGAAAATGTACGTTGAAATGCAAAGCGGAGGTGCTTTTCCCGAGGCGGCTTGAAGAGAGAGAGTAGAACCAGAGGTTAGTAGAGAGAGAGAGGGGGGGAGTGAATGAATATATGGAATTTAGTACGGAGAAGAGAGAAAAAAACAGAAATGGAGAGAGTGGGAAGAAGACGGGTGACGGAAAATATCCATTTCCGTTATATTCGGTTTAACGGCGGCAGTAACGCCAAGCCACGTCGTGGGAAAGTGGAAGCGCTGCCTGCGACTGTACTCTGTAACACGCAACCGGGCAACCCCCCCGCAGACCGGATCATGATGGAATGTCTAAATTGCCCCTGTCGAGTTTGGTTTTTGAAACTAGTCTAGTCAAATGTCAAATTGCCAATGTTGCATCCTTCATGTTCATGTGGCCAAATGTTGTATCATCTGTTATTTTGTAAAAGTTTTGACGTAATTTTTTAATATATAATTTTTGTCTCTTACAACACATGAAAATACAAAAGTACAAGGTCGAAGATAAAAGCTCAAACATGCACTCTATAATATAGCCAGCAGCAATGGAAGAACAACAACCATTCACATCTTCTAACATACAGAGGTAAAGCATGTAATGGTCTGTGACTCGATGCAAATTTTATGTCAAATCAAGATAAATAAGTGTGTAATGTATTGATATGGAACTGCAAGCGTAGTAATCTTGATACGTGGCTCGATGCAAACTTTATATCAAATCAAAATAAATAAATGAATAGTGTATTGTTATGTAACTGAGTGCGTAGTAATGTTGGTGTATGGCTTAATGCAAACTTTATGTCAAATCAAAAAAAATAAATGGGTAGTAAATTGCCATGAAACCGTGTGCGTAGTAAAGTTGGTACATGACTCGATACAAAATTTATGTCAAATCAAAATATAAAAATGGATAGTGTATTGATATGGAACTGCGTGCGTAGTAATGTTGGTACGTTGCTCGATACAAATTTTATGTCAAATCAAAATAAATAAATGGGTATTGTTTTGCTATGAAACCACGTGCTTAATAAAATTGATGTGTGGCACTATGCAAACTTTATGTCAAATCAAAAAAATAAATGGGTAGTGTATTGATATGGAACCTCGTGCGTAGTAATGTTAGTGCACAGCCTCGATGCGAACTTTATATCAAATCAAGATAAATAAATGTGAAGTGTATTGCTCTGGAACCACGTGTGTAGTAAAATTGGTGTGTGACTCCATGCATATTTTAATATGTATATTGATTGTCTAATTAATAACATACTTATACTCCAAACATTTCATACCTCTCATCCCAATTCAGCCACTAACGAAAAATGTCTCAAAACATTCAAAGAAGATGTAGAATATGGTTGCCGAGATTGACAATAATCGAACCACTTAAATGCTTATGTTACAAGCAGTTCGTGTCCACTTTATTCCAGTTCCGACTTGGACAAGAGGAGCAGATTCGATGAAAGTGATCTTTCATGATAAACATGTATTGTATTCACAATTTTTAAATATTTGATTATATGTTATTGTTATAATTTAATTTTATCATTATCTTTCATCAATGTTTTTTTGTAATTATATAGTTTATAATTAGGCCGTGCAAGGGTACAAGTCTTGTTGTTCAATCAAAAGATTGTGTTTCCTCATGTAACCATACCTCAAGGTAAGTTCATTAAAGACACAAAAAAAAGGCATCAAATGGAAAAGGGTAAAACCATGTGCTCAATTTCTAAGATACACCGAGGATATGGATACAGATATGATTAAAAACAAGAAGCCAAAGAAGCAGTTGACTGGCCCTGGAACAATGGATAACACCAGTTCTCCGAAGCGGGTGATGGATTCTTGAAATACACTGCAAATGAAGAAGAAGAAGAAGAAGAAGAAGAAGAAGAAGAAAAGATCTTTAAGTATTACATGGAATATGAGATGAGGACTCCCTTTTTGACCAGTGACAGCAAAACAGAAAACTTTAAGGCATGTTTGGAACACAAGAAATGTTGGGAAAAGAAAAAATTGTGTTCCAATGAGTAAAGTGGTGTTTGTGATTAATTGTATATTGTTCCGGAATTAGACAGTGTTGCAAAATTAGTTAACACATTGGTGCTTTGGTGCTTTGGCACTGCAGTTAGTGCTGTAGTGTTCCCTAGATTGGTCACATAGGGGGTGCTACAATACTCATCATAGTGTATGTTTGTGCTTACAAGCCTTATAGCAATACTAATATCATGAAACTTTGGTATTCAATGGAAACAGATAAATTCATTTGCCGAGTTACCATGAAATACATGACTTTGGTTGGAACCCAGAAATTGGAGGGGAAGATATAAAAAAAATGCATAGGAATATGGTTTTTTTGGTTTCATCTTGAAAACTATGAACTCAACACAAATGAAAAATTAACAGACATATAAATTTTTATCTGTTAACTAATAGAAATATATAAATAAATTGAGTTGGAACAAATGTATCTAAAAAGGATTTATTGAGTCTAAACCAATTTTTCCATTTTCCGGATATTGTCCAAATCTCTCCTCAGCTATCCTCCCTTATTTCTTTACTAGCCTTTTCCAAGTTCCAAACAGACCCTAAAGCATTCACTTTATTTTTTTTCCATCAGATTTTGAAGCTCAGCCTTTGAATAAAATGAGATCGCCCCCACCAAATGTGATAGGCAAATTCTATATAACATCTGTGATTTTGTGAATGTGTTTTCTTGATGCCACCTTTCATTCACCCCAAATCAAAGTAGGTTTCTAGTTAACCCTTCCCCAAAACCAATTCCAAAATGAGTTTAAACAGATATCTCAAATACGGAGTATAATTATGAGTTCGACAACAAAAACAACGTATTTATGAGTTCGAATCTAAGTTTATTTTTCTATCCTTCTAATTTTCCGCTCCTTTTTCCTCCCTCTTTTCTTTCCTTGTTTTCTTTTGAGGTTCCAAATATAGAGTGAGTGCAACCAGCAACATACAATTCCACAAATTCTACGATACACAATCACTGCAGGGGAAAAACCAAAAAACTGAAGCAGACAATAAGAAAAGCTTTCACAAGAAAGAATGAAAAGATGCAAAAATAATCATAACTCACAACGAAACTTATGGCTTTCCCACCAAAGATCAAGCACATCGGCCCTTATTTAGCATCCCCAGCACTATCATCGGAATCTGAATCACTTACATTATAACCTAAAAAGAACAATTTCCATAAACACTATAGATCAGAAAGCATCTTATAGCAAGTCAAGTCACAAAAGGGTAACTCCAAGCACCTGGGCGCTTATCACGAACTTTCCATGCCGAAGAACGGGTCCTTGACGCCCGGGATATCCATGCTCTTCCCTATGCCCAGAAAAAAAAATTGAATGATCTCAAAGTTTGTTTAAATAAATCAGAGCGAAACATATGGACCTCGACACTGTTCTTGTGCATCAATCCAACCTGAAAGTTAGGCACTGCTTCCCTCATTTTTATTGTGAAGTCCAGACTTCAAGAATTACTAGTTCACAATATATTTCTGATGCTAAAGTACTCATGCAGAGATAACAGCTAATTACTCCTTAAAATGAAACAGACCCACCTTTTTTATTTAGGAAACATTACTTTGTCAAAGCTTTCCATCGCAAATCCAAGAAAAGGGCCGAAAACGAAGCTTTTGGGACAAAAAAATGAAACAAACACCAGAAGCACAGTGGGACAAAGAATCAAACACCTTCTCGGCATTAACGGGCACGCCATATCCACTACAGAACATCTGACCCACAAGGACCTGCATGGAGATGTCGCCGCCCTTGGCCTCCTTGAGCGTGTCCTGGAACCACCGTCTGACGCAATCGGCCACCACGTCGGCCAGCGGTATCCGGATGTCCTCCGACGAGGGCTTGGGGATGGAACTCTCCTCCTTCTTGTTCATCCTCGGTCGCCGCTCCGACGAAGCCGATTCTATAACTCTGAGAGACCCCTCGACCTTGGGTTGGGCGCGGCGGCGGCGGAAGCTGTTTGAGCCGATAAAACTAGCAAAATGTTTGGAAGAACGCAAGGATTTACCCATTGAACCAGAAATATGAAAAAGTGCCGTATAAATTAGGAAACTTGAAATTGGGATTTCGGGTAAGGAATAAATACAGTATTTTTGTATACTGGGTAGAAAATGTGGAGTAATAAATAAATTGATAGAACTAATAAAAAAAGGAAATTTTCTTAAATAGTACAAAAATATAGTCACTTTTTTAATGTAATATCATATGTTTTTATTTCTCAATATAGTAGTACGGTTCAATGTCCACTGCTAGTGAATATTGTTCAAACTAAAATTCCACCATCACTGGATAATGTTTCTGCAACTAGACATTATTTTAGTACTATTTTAGAAATTAAAAAGTTTAAATGCTATATTAAGAAATGACATATATTTCAGTGCTATTTATTGCAAATTCCACATAAAAAAGTGAAAAACTCATGCAATATTTTGAGGAACATTTTTTTAAACACATATTTTGTGAAACTTAAGATTATACCGAGAACAAGAATATTTAAGATTATATTATTATCACTAACACTCCTAGAAATTAAATACTTCATCCGTTTCATACCTTTCTTCTAGTTGTGCCAAACGAAGAACCAAAATTTTTCAATCTATTTTATTAAAACATTAGTATAGAAATAAAAAATAATATCTTAAAAAACGACATCAAAAATTCAATAAAATATGTCGTAACAAAAATATTTTATTTTATCATATACGCCATGAATAAAAACAAATAAAAGTTCCCGTGAAATTGAAATACTGCTCCGAGAAGAAAGATATGAGATAAAGAGAGTATTTTTTTAGCGCTTATTTTCTAAATCATAGGGGACCCACATGCTCATTTCTTATTTTTCGTTTATTATTTTGTTTTTTCTTTTATTAAACTTTTCTTTATCTCTTTGTCTCCCTTTCCTAGAAATTTTTTTAAAATTTTCTTTAAATTTTTTATAATGTTTTTAAGAATTCACAATTCTTTGTGTTTGAAATAAAAAAAACAAATACTCCATCTATCTCAAATTAAACATTTAAACCTTTTGTTTTCTAAAATAATGTTTTTGGTAAGTTCAAAAAGAAAATCAAAAAGAAAAAAATAAAAATATGAAAAAAATTGAAACATCTAGAAAAGAATCTTATACAAAAAGAAATTTTTGAAATGCTTAAAAAAATCCTTAGAATTGGGATGTCCAACAAGGATATTAATTTTTATTTTTTTGTTTTATTTCATTTCTCATTTTTCAAAGTTCTCAGAACAAGTTTTTTTTTTATTTTAGAAAACAAAAAATAAAAATTGTTAATTTGAGAGCAATAGATGCAATATATGTAAATTTTTTTCAAATAAAAATAATTTTAAAATTTAAAAATATTATTATAAAAGCAATTTAAAAAATAAATTTAAAAAACTTTGATTAATAAAAGAAACAAAAAAAAAAGAAAAAATGAACGGAAAATAAGAAATGAGCACAAGTTCCTCCTATGATTTGGAAAATACACACCAATACTTCTTTCTTCACCGAAAAAGTGGCTGGAAAATGATAAGTGAGAGTATGAGTGCAACATTTTGAAACCACATAAATTTTAGAAATAAGTTTTGAAAATAGAGAAGGTATTGATATTAGTATTGGTGCTATTTGGCTACGAAACTATTGTTAAACTTCCACCCAATCGCCAAACAGAACAACAAATTCCCACTTCACACACAAATATCTTGTGATTCCTTTACACATGGGGAAAAAACCACATACTTGCAGGGGAGAAAGACAACAAAAATGGAAGAAAACAACATACAACAAAACATGAAAACTATGAACAACAAGGTTGATACGCTCCGACCCTCGCTCGGCGGGACCCTTGGTAGAATGGGCTCCACCGTGAAAATCTCCGCCCCCGTGGCAAACAAGATTCCAATGCACGACTCCGGTGTCGGGCAAATCTTTTCTTCTTTTTTTTTGAATTCGAATTGCCAAACGCAACCCCAAAACCGTTGCGTTAAACGTCTTCTCTTTGTATGGTCATAGGAGGCGGCGGCGTCATAGGATCATCCCTACCTCCCCCCACATTAGATGCATCTGCAAGGAGCAATAACATTATGACTAGGGGAATAATAAACGAGTAATGACGTTTTTAACCCCATGGATGAAATCACGGTTGACACCACCAGAGACAATCACACATAAATCTTTTTTTTCCGTCTTCTTTGTCTATTTTCAATACTCATTTGATAAAGATATAATGTTTTAGCAGCTTTAAAACTATATTTTTTAAAAAAGTTACACCAAATGTCAAGTAAATTAAATTGAAAATAACTTCACTATTCGTAGAGTGGATTCCTTTGACACCAAGGGGGGTGTCATAACATGACACCGGGTCATTTGAGGAACCCGCATTTGACCATGAAATGGTTCTTACCCCCCTAAACTCCCTACAACTTCGGGGACGAACATCGCACCGTATATCCCTCAAATGCCCGGTGTCATATTATGGAACTCACGAGTGGTGTCAAAAGAATCCCATTTATATTCCCAATAGCATACTATAGATTGGGAGCTAATGTCTACCTGGACTTAAATGCTGGGGTGCAAATCTGCTTGGACTTGGTGTGGAACTCTTGCCTCCATAGGGCTTGTTTGGATGAGGAGGAGGAGGAGGAGGAGAACTTGGACCTGATATATGACCTTCGCCGCCGCGTTGTTTCTTGTAAAACTTGTCCTCCACGATATCATAAGAATTCCCGGTCCGAACTTCTTGAGCCAAAGAACACCAACAACAGAAGAGCCACAACGCACAATCAACGACCGACGGTCTGCATTTGAATTTCCCAAACGGGGAATTACCGTACGCGGGCAAATTGTATTTCTTCCTCATCTGGATCCTCCAAAACCCGCCGTATAACAGTCCAAACACGCATAGGAACACCCCTACCAACCCCAGAGCCCCGCGGACGGTGTCGTTGTCAATGTTGACCGCGGCTAAGTTGAATATCCAAAACGGGGCCATGCAGAACAGAAGAAACGTCATTATGTGCACGTACATGTTCCCTAGCCCTAGCCGTTCCATGTTCCATCCGAACACACAGAAAGTGCACAACAACGAGAGGTACGCCGTCGAGAGGTCGTTCCAAAAGTCCAAAATGCCCCCGCTCCATTGCGGGGCCGTCTCTAGATTCCTCCCGTCGTCCTTCGCAAAAGAGAATCTTTTTTCGAAGGATTTTCTGCGGAGCTGAGACTCTTCGTCCCCCTGCTCGGGAGTCGGGTGATCGTACTCTTTCCCGAGCGGGCTAAGCATCGAGTAAACGCCGGCGACGGCGGACGCGCCGATTGAGACGGAGACGCAAAGGCCCACCCCAATGGCCGGCCGTTGCGATCTCTTGTACCCCCAATTGAGCCCGCAAAGAGCGTATTGGGCGAAACAATTGAGATTTAGTAGCGAAACGACGACCATCATGTGGGCCCACTCGTGGGGCTTGTAGGTCCCGTCCTTGCAATACGCCCTCCGGAGCCCGGAAACGTCTTTGGGCCTCCACCGCATGAGGAGCACGAAGTGGTACAACCGCTTCGGGTGCATGTAGAGACACATGAGAGTGAACAACGCGTTGAGGATTTGGTTGTTCACTTCGAACCAAACGTCCCTTTGAGATTTCTCCGGGACGGCCCGGTTCAACATCCCGGTCATCACGAGGAAGAGGATCGCCCCCGAGACGGCGACGCAAAGGATCCAAACAATAAGCGCCATGTTCATCGGATTCCTAACCCACTCCTTGCACATCTTGCGCAAAGAGTCCCAATCGATTTTCCTCGAGAAGAGACGGCCCAAGCGTTCCCGGACGCTTCCGGAAGACGGGACGGAACGGGAGATCTCATCTCTCTCCTCGGCGATCTGTTGAAACTTGGCAGAAGGGGAAGACAAGTTCCCAAAGTTGAGGAACTGTAGCCTCTTTGGCACGGCGAGAGAGCCTCCATCGAACTTTTTTTGTGGAACTCCATTGGTTACGAGTCCTCTTTGGGATGAAGAAATGTGTAGGGCAGTGTTATCAGATTTAGCAGATTCCTCAACTCCACTGCCCTCATTCATGCTCATATCAATGGTGACCATCCTCGCTTTCGATCAATTTTCTTGAGCTTAAAAAATGTTGGTGAAGAAGATGATATTTACTCGTCGGATCATTTCCACTTCATTTCTTCTAAAATTCGCAGCTAACAATCAAGAAACTGCAAAACAATACAAGTTTGAAGCTTTTAATGCTGGTTTATATTCGAATTCAATTCAAGTTCTTATGCCAAATCATCAACTAGAAAACATATTCATCTCAGCAAGTCTTTCTCACTCTTTCTCTCTTTTATGCAAAGAATATACTATCTCCATCCCAAAAAGACTGATACATTATGCAAAACGAAGCAAAACTTCAAATTTCTTTAATTCAATATATTTAAAGATTTGTACAGAAATAAAAATAAAACTTACGTAGTACATGTTTAAAAACCGACGCCAAAAGTTCTACAAAACAAAGAATATTTTACTTTACGGAGTATCAAATAATTAATCAAAACACAAACAAAAGTTCCCGTGATTTTCGAACAGTGAAGTGTGACATTTTTTTTGGACGGAGGGAGTATTATCCAAAATACTTCCCACCCTTCTAAATAAACTCTAAACACTGGTTTTTCAACACTTTTCTTAATATCTTCAAAGACAAAATGAACAAATTAATTTTATGTAGGTATAGGTTAGATCAATATCTCAGCCTAGATGTATTTAAATCAACTTCCAATTTGGGAAAAAAAAGTCAACAAAACTGAATCATAACATCAAAACAGTATTTTTTGATAACCATCTGGATTCTGGTTCATGAGATTCAACAGAAAATGATGAACTATTTCACACCCATAAATCCATAACACATACATGCAAATATTGAGCAGAATAAGATAATCAAATTGGGCAAAATAAACACGGAGTAAATAAATTTGACATACCCTTTGCAACAATTCCATGGAATTGCAGATTGGTGAGATCAAGAATCAATGGGAACAGAACCAGAGACTGATTCTTTGCCCAATTTATGAACCCATTGACCAAAGTTTCCAGATTTTGAACTAATTCTGGAAGGAGGAGCAGTAAAGGAAGCAGCTTTGCTGTTCTGTGCTGGGGAAAGAAGAAATTCAAAAGAAACGGTTTTGAAAATTCTGGGTGGGTTTTTGTTCAGACCAAGAAATTGGGCTGAAATATGAAGACTAAATAATTTCTTCAAGAAAAAAAAAAATCTGGATTTTGTTTTGGTTTGGACGGCGTATGGAAGGCGCTGGAAGAGAAGATCTGATATTCTTGGCGTATACGAGGGGAGGCATTACAGTGGGAAGTGGGCCCGTGCGTACATGTCTTTAAAAGTCCAACTCATCTTGGGCCCTTGGGCCTTGGCCTAGGTTCAATATCGCTGCTTAAAATCGAGTGAATGGTTTGCGAGACTACGAGAGAGGTCGAGAGGGTAAGTTCATGTTCCTTTCGGCTCTACTTGGCACACGGAATTCAAGCCGTAGAATTAAAATTGGTGATTTCAATTTTAAATTTAGTGTTTGGTAGCATAATAATATGTGAATTTCAATTCCAATTCAATTTTAATTTTGTCAATTCCGTATACTAAACGAATCTTGAGTTTCATACAAAAATTTCATCTTTGACTTTTGGCAAATGTTAGGACTAAGGAGTGTGTATTTTGTACTTTCTTTATATGAAAAAACAATTTTTTGTTTTTTTGCATGTCTTATAAAACACTCATATCCTATTTAAAATGTAAAAAGTAACTTTTGCCGGTTGATGGATATAATCCACTAGTACCACCCGGCAAGTTCACAGGCGCCCGGGGTTCCAAATTCTGGCCCCCGCATGACCTCACCAACCCCGGTAGACTGACCGAGTGGATATGGGGCTAGACATGTGAGATCGTGACTTCATTCGCAGAGAAAGCCTTGAAGACTGCCCGGGTGGATGACCTGAAGACCGCCCGGGTGGATGACTTGAAGACTGCCCGGGTGGATGACCTGAAAACTGCCCGAGTGGATGACCTGAAGACTGGATGGCTTGAAGACTGACCGGCCGGAAGAACAGGAACGTCGGGACGTGCTTGACGTGCTTGTTTTTATTATAAATACTCCTAAAAGCCTCATTTGTGAGGGCATGCTTTAATGAATCCACACGGCTTGTAATTTGTAATAGCTCCTATTATCATTAATAACAAACCGGGCTACAGGTGTTTCCACCTACAGCCCTTCCGATTACTTATACTTAGTATTTGCGTGGTAATTTACACCATCACCGGTAATAAAGAAAAAATATGGTGTATTGTAGATATTTTAGGCGAAGGAAAAGTGTATTTTAAGATGCATAAAAAAATAAAAAATTCTTGAAAAGTTTTAGACTAAATAACGAAAAAACTCTAACAATAGTAATAGTAATAATAATAATACATACTGAGTAATAATGTTAATAATAATACTTCATCTATTCCTAAAAGATTGCAACAATTGACTTTTTTGGTCAAAATGTGACACCATTTGACCATAAATTGAATATAGTTTAAAATAATTAAATATTAAAAAATTTGATATTTTAAAATGAAATTTTTAAATAAACTCAATTTTACCAAATTTATATCATAATTAAATACTCCCTTCGCCCATAAATAAAGTTCCCGTTGAGCGTTACGATGTTTGGCTTAAGTTATTTTCAAATCATTTTTTATGAAAAATGATTTAGAATTTAAAAATAAAAATTACATATTTAAAAATTACATGAAAAGATCTACAAAATTAGAGGTGACATGACTATATTATTTTATGAAATTAGATATCAAAATAGACAAATAAAGTGAATAAAATTTGACCATGTGAATAGCGAACAGAAATTGTATCGTTGAACAAAGTAAGTATATTTTTTTATAATTTACTAGTATTAGTTTAACTTTCAATCTTTTAGGAGAGAGAAAAGAATTAATAAGAATAGGCTATGATTGTATCTTTTGAACTTTCTTGTTTCTAATTTGAGTAATCCTTTTTTTTTTACTTTTAGCCTTTTACTCCGTGTTTATCTACCAGCTCAGCTCAGCGCAGCCGCCTTGACCGGAACAATGGGTGGAGCTGATCTAACGCGTTTGAATAAAGGGATCAATTCCTTTTCTCCATTTTCAAGCCTTCTATTAGATGAAGAACCTTCCTGGTTCACTTCTATTACATCAATCCCTTTCCTCTGTTTAATTTCGGATCTGCGATGTTCAGGCCGGAGATCACCACCGACGTGCCGCTCCTCGCCGTCGTCGGGGAGGCCTTCTGCTTCCCCTACCTGGTAGACTTGACTGCTAAGAAGGGGATTTACGGCGTCTCTTCTCTCCAGTTCGACGTCTCCGACGGCAACGGAAGCCCTCTCCTCCGAGTCCACGGCAGGCTCTGGCGGTTGTTGCAGAAGAAACGGACCATTTCTGACCCCTTCGGCCTCCCCGTCGTCACTATGCGCGCCAAGGTACATCTCTTTGACCTAATTTCTGAACAGAGACCAGAATCGGGGGAACGGTGAAATGGGATTGTTGGGTGTAGGGATGAAAGTTTGATGATTTTGGGAAAAAATTATCACTTTTGGATTGAGCTTTTATATGTGTTTATTTGTTGTTATGCTTGTGATGATTTGAACTTATCACGCATCTGCTAAATGATTTGCATAATTTAGAAGTTCTAATTCATGAAATACTTCTGAAAAAGATGGCTGAAATTTTGTACCTCTATGTAGATTAAGGGTCTGTTTGGGAATAGCGTTAGCGTTTTGGAAAGGCTAACTACGGGCAACGTTTAGCGTTAACATTTTCAAAGTAAGCAGTACCGTTAAATTTTTATCCAAAACGCTAACACTAATCTCTAACGTTGTTCCTAACAAGCCCTGAGTGTCTATTTGGCCAATGTTTAGCTTTAGTGTTTTCAGAGTTTAGCTCTACCATTAAATATAGTCCAAAATGCTGAGTGAAAACACTCTTCCCAAACGAAGCCTAAGAATGTGTTGGGTAGCACAACAAACTATCTCCCACACCGGAAGAACAAGAGAAGGAAAGCCAACATTTATATGGTGTTTTGGGAGGTATCCAAAAACAAATCCGTGAGAGCTTGACCCATAACGGACATTATCATACTAATGCGGGGTTAGGGTGAGGGTACGCGCGGTCCCAAGAGATTGGAATATGAAATTGTGTAGCATTATTTAACGGGTAGAGAGATTAATCTGCAAGGGGACCTAGGGATGAGGTTCATGCAGTTATTCACTATGAGTGAAGTGATGATTGAATGATTAATCTGCAGACTCTTGCCTTAAGGAATGTTTGGCAAGTTTACAAGGGAGAAAGTTTAGCTGAAGAGAATATGTTATACACGGTCCGAGAAACTAAATATATTCAGATGAAAGTCAGACTGGATGTTTTCATGGCTAGCAACCAGGGAGATATCTGTAATTTTCACGTTAAGGGTTCCTATGCTTCTCAGAATTTCAAAGTCTACCAAGGAGATAATATGATTGCTGAGGTATGTACAATGTGTCTTTTGCTTCCCTTAGCCTCTCACATTGTTGTTCTAGAACAGTGGTGATTACTAATTGGTGTACGCCATGGTTCTTTCGACCTTAGAAAAAAGCGACCCGAGAATGACCCGAGCACCTACAGTCTTCCATTGGTAAAATTGATGGTTCCCACCCCCAACCCCCAGCCCACTCCTTCCCCTGCCAGGTGGGGGGTGGGGGCTAGGGTGAGGGTTTAGGAGATGACTGGGGCTAGAAACCGTCTATTTTACCAACAGGGCACCGTAGGTTCCCGAAAAGGCTTGGGTCATTCTCAGCTCATTTTTTCTAAGGTCAACTGATCCGTGCCGATTTGTGTAACAAAAATATAATGCAGGTGAAGGAGGAGAAGAAGATTGGCAACTTCTTCAAAGGCATAGAGAGGTTTGATGTAAGAGTCTTCCCTGGTGTCGATTATGCTTTCGTCATTTCGCTATTAGTTATAATCAATGCCATTGATGGAGGATCATAACAATAAGCCTTTGATTTCTTCTCTTAGTGATTTTTTTTGAGTAAATTCCATAATTGGTCCTTTATAATAGGGGGTTTCCATATTTAGTCCTCTATTATCAAATATTATCCCCGTAGTCCTTTTTTTAAGGGTACCTTTCCACAAATGATTATTTTTTTGATCTTCTGCCATGTTGGTGTTAATTTAAAGGCTAACAGTATAATTTGACGTCAACATTATGTCTAGTGACGTGTTCTGATATTAGTTAAGCAGATAACACAAAAATAATGACTATGATTGTGGGCTAGGATTCTGATGAAAGATCACATTTGTAGACTATAGTTGTCATAAAAAGCGACTTTAATTCACAAACGACGCAAACGGAATAGCCTTTGGAATTGTGTATGACAAAAAAGATATATTATCATTGTGAAATTACATTTTTAGCCCTCAAATTAACATCAACATGATAGAAGATCAAAAAAAGGACTATTTGTGGAAAGGTACCCATAAAAAAAGGACCACTTGAGTAATATTTGATAATAGAAGACTAAATAGGAAAACCCCCTATTATAAAGGACCAATTATAGAATTTACTCTTTTTTTTTTGCTTGAATTTACATTCTTTTTTTGTTTGGTTGTTTGAAATTACATTTTAGTTTAGAGTGCTTATAGCCAGTCTTATGTATTATAAGAGCCTTTGTAACACAAAAGCTGTTTAATTTGAGATAAGGCACTTAAGTATAGGGCCAGATTTGAATGGACGGTGAATCTATGCCAATTTTGAGAGGTTTTTTGTGTAGATGTAATGGTCCTGAGATTTAAAAAGTTGAAGAAAGTTTATCCCATTGTTTAAATGTATACACATTTTAAACTCACTTCTGTCGAAAATAAAAATTTCAGTTTCATCATTTTATTTCGTGTATAACTTTGTATATGTTTATTACACATTTTAACAATAAAATCTTATCACCTCTTCTTATGCACGGTAGAATTCTTAATTTGGTGCCAATTTTCATATAAATTGAATTGAAAACACCACTAAAAAACTAAAAGTATTGTAATCTGCAACAGGAAAGTCTTTCTAAACCGGATTGGAAGATTAAGTTTTTTTTTGTTAAATGTCTACTATATATCCAACAAACTACAAACACAATGCATACACTCAGAAAGAGAAGCATATATTCACTTCACAACATATATGTTTCACGATTCATCCCGCGAATTTATGCCTTGCCTGAATGAGACATTCTCATCATGCTCGACGACCGCATAAACATTTTATTTTTAATTACCTTAAGCACCTCGATCATCTATTCTCTATATTATGCCATAATGTTGAAAAAAGAGATAAAACCCATTGAAGAGTTTACAAAAAAACCACGAAATAAAATGTGGTCGTCGGGCAAGACAAGCTTACTTGCCCGAATCGGGCAGAACGAGCGCCCAATTTGCCCGAGTTGGGCAGGCAATGATGGTTATTATACCGCTATAGAAGTACGTACATACATACATGTGTGTGTGTGTATTTGCCACTCATCTATATATTGGAGAATAACATAAGAGAGATGAGCTAAGAATTGGCTCCAGTGATGATATTGTAGACATTGCTGGATATGGCTATGCAGCTGGTAACAATGGCTTGAATGATCATAATTGTTGCTACTATCTTATCCTTTCTACTTGAAATGCCATGAATATCCCTGTCAATTCCATCGTTGTGATCGTTATTATCACAAAAATGGTAGCATATAACATATATGTGACCAAAATGTAGGAATAGAATGATACAAAGTTGCCCGAGCCTAAAAACACCGAGTTTTGAACAAAGATTTTAAGAACCAAACTCGAAGGAGATCAAACCCGAAATGACCCGAAAAAATTGGGTCGAATCTGATCGACCCTGACAAACTGAGATATAAGCATAAGGGACTACCTGAGAGCAATGGCGCCGGGGAAGATGAAGGCGAGCAAAACGGCGGAGGTGGATCCCAAGAACTGGAAAATGTACCAAATACTCGGAACCAGAACGGCGGCACCATAAGCCAGCGCCAGCAAAACCAACGAAAGACACGCGAATCGAACCGTGTCGTTTGCCAAGTGAAGCTTCTTCGCCGGGAAGAAGAGTTCGTCGATGTTCGACCTCAACGGGTAGTTGAGCAAGGGGAAGACCATGACCAGGTGCAAGGCGTAGCTCAGCCGCACGACGTCGTTCAGGACGGCGCCGGCGGCGGCGAAGTTCACCAATATGTCGGCGTTGATGGCTTCGCCGAACAAGAGGTACCCGAAAATGCCGATGGAGAAGTAGACGAGGGCGCAGAGTAGGAGTGAGATCTTCACCGCGGTAGCCATTGTTGAAGGCTTGCCTAGCTCTATTCCAATGGGATGAACTGCAGGCATTCTATTCTCTTGTTAATGTCAATCCCAATCACACACAAACAAAAAAGAATGCCAAAGAGACCATCATGGGTGGCCAGAAGGGTGTCCAAAGTGGCCAACTGCACAGGGCCCTTGAAATTTCAGGGCCCCATTTTTTTTTTGCATTAATTTTAAAGCATAAATATTGTAAAAAATTAAAATATGACCCAAAATGTAGATTTTGGACCGGACCAATTTTATTTTTTCATTTTTCGAGGCCGGCTCTGGAGACCATTATTTTTCTTACGCCCGGGGTGGACCCGGTACCGGTTCTGGAATGGAGAAACGAATCACCTACCATTCGGTCCAAAAAGTTGGAATCGCCCACCCCAGGGCCCGACAGGAATGGTGGAGGAAGTAAATCATGGTGACTCAGTTGGCCAAGAACGCTAGACCTGTGCCCACTTACCATTGAAGTGAAAGGTGAATGCCGTGACAATGACAGGAACAGCAGTGAAAAGGTTGAGGAAGGAAGGGCCGTCGTGTAGGCGAGGAAGGAGCCTCGGGGTCTGCGTTTCGCCATTAACGAGGGCGCAGATTGCCATTACTACACACACCCCGACAAACACAAGTGCGAGCACTACTGCCAGCGCCGAACTCCACCACAACGACTCTGCAATTCACAAATCTATATCAATCATCAACAAACATATACAACTGTTGCCAACGAGAGAGCCTGGAAGCAGGTAAATTGAACTTTAATCTTAGTCTGATCGATAGAGATTGCGATCTATCTATCCCGACATTACCCTTTTTGCACTATTGACCAACTAAACTATACCCCCGAGGAAAAGGGTGCTAAACTTTATTGAAGTACAATGCCACAAGATATCCACTAAAATCACATAAAAGTAGGGCTTGAAAAGGGGTAAAAGAGTACTCACCTACGCGGCGGTACGAAACAAGAGGTAACATGACAAACAGAACAACGAAAAAGATGGCGAAAGCGCGGGAATTCCACCAGTGATTGCCAAACCACTCTTGCAAAACTCCCAAATGGTCTGGTGAGCCATTCCCACACAGAACATCACCTGATATACACATATCAAACAAAAAAACATTCAAACTTGACCAAATGTTGTTATGTTACAAACTCGAAAACTAATCAAGAAAATATTTTGTAATGCTCACCAATGATAATTAGGTACATGATCAAGCAACCAAGACTAGTGATAATTATACAAATCTGCAGAAGCAAAGATCCCATCTTTCCAAACGACTCCTTCATCAAACCCGCATAGGTCGTTGCGTTCCCGGCGTACGTGAACCTCAACAGGAAATCCACTGATAGATCCACCAGCACCGCCATTGCCGCCATCAAAATGAACGCCGGAATCACACCCACCACCTTATATCCCATTTATTTGGATGAGCAATCATACATAACTATACAAACCAACCTATGAAATGCATTTACTTGTTCTCAAGATTTCTGTCAATTATGATTTGTTTCAGCATACTCTCAGAATCTGAGATTCGTGAGCTAGAAGCTTAAATTATCAAAAACAGTCAGTAGATTTTATTCAATTGACCTTAGGTTCCGTTTGGTACATGGAATTCAAGCCATCAAATTAGAATGGGAGGATTCAATTCTAATTCTAATGTTTGGCAGCACAAAAATATGTGAATTTGGAATTGAATTATAATTCCAAATGTTCCAATTTCAGATTTCAAATTCTATAACACAGGAAGAGAATTTTAAATTCTTAATTTGGAATTGAATTCTTGTTTTATAGGGGTGGGGTTTTGGGGGGGATAGGAAACACTGTAGGAGGGCGCGGAGAAGCTCTTCTGATCTTACCTTGAGGGTGGCGGGGATAGACATGATTCCGGCGCCGATGATGGTGGTGCTGACGTTGAACACCGCCCTGCATATCAGCAACCTTCTCTCCGCCGGAGTCTCTCTCCTCGTGAGCAGAGGTGCGGCGGCTCCGACCGCCGGTGACATGCCGGAGATTGTTTTGCTCTTTTTTTTTCTTTTTTAAATCTCCGGTCCGCGATGTTCGTTGAACTTATTGGTGCGCCAAACTGGCGTATATTTATTGATACGGAATTCTACTTATAGCTAACAAAATTTTGAGAGAAAATGACCATTTTGGACTTTGTCTGACCCAATTTAAATTATTCATTTATTATTTACTCCCTCCGTTCCGGAGTATTCGTCCAGTTTTGACTTTTGAAACTGTTCATCTAAGCACTTTGACTCATCAAATTCTCTTAATGTGTAAGCCTAAATATAGTCATTTGTGATCTTGTTTAATTTGTCTTAACATATAGATTATTAATATATAATTTTTTAATATACAAATTACAAGATAAAATTGATTAAAAAAGTGTATTAGATGGTGTGTAAAAATGAAAGTGGACAAATACTCTGGGACGGAGGTAGTACATAATTAAGATTTAATGATTTTTTTGTTATTTTTGCTATACATTTGATAAAATAATTTCAATCAAATCTCAAAAATAACAACGGGTGATTTAAAAAGTATAATTTACCTAAATATGACTAAAACATAATAACTTTCTCAATATAAAAGCATATGTTTTTATTTCCCAATGTAAGACTATTGGACATTATCCATTAGTCATTATTCAAAGAAATATCTACCATCACTCGACATTATTCCCTTCACTAGACATTACCCGGAATATTAAATACTCCGTAAAATTTAGGGAATAAAAAAATTTTAATTTCTACATTGAAAATGATTTATATTTTAGTTCTATTTAGTACAAATTTCATATTTAAAAAAGAGGAAGGCTACCCAATTATGGATAACGACAAAACGTAGAAAATTAATGAATATGGACGTAAACGTGTGCAAAATTCATGTTAGAGCGCCCACAGCCCACTTCTTCCTGCCAAAATCATGTTTGTGTTTTTATTTAACATACTTATACTAATAAAACCAAATTAATTAGGGAGTTTATTTCAATCCATATTCAGCACCTAAACTTCATTGTATCATGAATATATATATATATATATATATATATATATATATATATATATATATATGATTAACTCCAGTGAGATGACACCTTATAGTGCGATGACATGCTTCAGTCAGATGACGCAAAGCTCACCACTGCCCACTGCAAAGCTCACCAAGCACAACTACAAAGCTCACCAAACTATAAGACAAAGCTCACCATATTTTTTTCAACACTTTACATTTTTTTTTTTGAAAAAATAAAATCAAAGGAAGGGGTGCTGACTAGACTTTGACTGTTGCCTCCAGCATTGACCACCGCCTGCCGCCGCCAGTCGCCGGCCGCCTGCGGCCGCCGTTGACCGGTGGTTTACCGGTGTTGATATTTTATTTTTAATTATTTTTTTAATTTTCAAAATTAAAAAAAGGTGAGTTTTGGGGTTTAAAGTGGTGATCTTTGCTTTATTTCCAGGTGAGCTTTGCATTGTCCATTGGTGA